GTATGAGGTTGAAATGTTAATATTTTGTATTATTCGAGCACATAGTAGATGCTCATTTAAGTGTTTTTAAAAATATTTTGCTTGTGTTGAGTCCAGCAGCAGACACTGGAAATGCAAAGATGAATAAGGTCAGAAGCTGCCCAGAACAGGGGAAAACAAGTTTGCCAGGAAGATACTGATGAACTGGTTAAGCCATAGGACTGACCCATGACAGATATCTCAAGCTTATCAGAGAAGCTATTTGATCTACAGTATTAGCAAAAAACTTCTTCCCAATGTAGGCAACCCGTTTAAGCCTCGATTGTGCCTATTTTCCATGAGTGAATCCGGCCAGATAGTGGGAGGGCTTGGCTGCCCCAGATCCTGATCCAACCCCCCAGCATGGCTCGGCCACCCCACTGAACTGGATTGTGCCTTATTCCTCTTTCTGAGAGTCAGTGCTTCTCTGGCTTGGTTAGATCTGTTTGGTACAACTGAGCCTTCACAGTTTGGGGCTTGTCCTTCTAAAGTCTAAGAAGGCTTATAGAGTAATGCCTTCCCATGCCCTGAACACACCCTAGCCCAGTAAGGAGCCCCTGCCTGCACATCAGAGCTCAGGAATCCCAAAGCCATAGCCAGAGGAGAAGCAACAAAGTCCAGCCTGTGCTTGCAGTGTGCTTCCTCCCACCTGGGCTGGAACCACTTTCTTCCAGGTCAAGGCCTTGCTCAAGCGTTCTCCTCATGGGAAGCAAAGCATTCCCAGACTCCTCTCCACCTGCACAGATGCAGTATGTAGACGCAAAGAGGTCACGAGCGTGTGAGTTAGGTTTGATGCAAAGTGAAAGCACAGGGTGGAAAAAGGTTTCATTTGCTGTAACCGAAATGTCATTGACTGTTTTCCCTGTGGCGGGAGCTGTGGAGAGTACTTGACAGAGGGAAAGGCCCTGTGAGGTTGGCAAATGAAGAGACATCATCCTACAGGAATGGCGGGATGCAGTTGGGGAACTGAGAGGCAAGATGATCAGTTCTAGGAGGCAGGAGGGGAATCTCATCAGTTTCTCCAAATACCAAGCTGTAGAAAACTATGTCAGATTCAGGTGGGGCCCTTTTCTGAGAGATTCTATTTTAGCAGATCTGGAATGGGGCTAGAATCTGTCTTTCAGACGTCCCAGGACATTTTTGTGGGCTGAGGTGTACTACTTAATAATGACAGGAAAATATACATATATGTGTGAAAATTAAGCTTTGCCTTCATCTAATTCCTTTCATAAAAATGTCATAAATAAATGCTGGATGGAGACAGGATGCCAGTGGAAAGGAAGGAAGAGAATAGGATTGGGTGTGGGAGGAAGGGGAGAAATGAAAGGAAGGAGTAAGGAAGGATGAAAGGTAGGAGAAGTAGGAAGGTAGACAAAGGAGGAAAGAGAAAGATAACTCCTAAAGGAAACAGAAGAAAACTGGAGACATAATCTTGGACATTAAACTGAAGAGTTATAAAGGGGAAGATTGACAATAATCCACTTGACCACATAGAAACATTTTTTTTTTCTGTGTAAGAACATTATAGAGTAATGATAAATAGGGGAATATAAAGAATTAATGTCCCCAGTATCAAAAGATATTATATATCTTGCATTGTATTATATAAACCAATTTGTACATTACATAGCCAATTGCATGTTACATAGCCAGTTAGAAAAATATAATTCATTGTATTTAAAGGATATGAAAAATAAATTTCCTGCATGAAATGATTGGTTAATAAGCTTATGCAAAATTCTCAGTCTAACTAGAGACCAAGAAACAGATTTGAAAAACGTAAGACACCATAATGATAGGCAGAGTGATGGCCCCAAGGTACCCACATCCTGAGTCCAGCAGGCTTTGCATAGTTGCCTTCCATGGCACAGGGGACTTTAGGCTGTGATTAGACTAATGTGGGAGATGGTGCTGGGCTATCTGATATGATCAAAGGAGCCTTGTAAGTGATGAGGCGGCAGGGCAGTGAGGGTTAAAGTGACTCCTAGGTGAGGGATGCAGTCGGCCCCTGCCAGCTTTGCAGAGGGAAGGGGCCTTGAGCCAAGGAAAGCAGGCAGCATCTACACACTGAAAAAAACAATAAAGTAGATTCTTTCCGAGAGCCTCCAGAAAAAAGAATTCCCTACCTCGATTTTTTCCCCAGTGACAGCCCTTATTTCTCAAATGCTTACTACATGCCAAGTTCCTTTCTAAGAACTTTAGGTGAGTGAACTCCATTGAAACCACATGTAGTGCTTTTTTGTCCCCTTTTTATTGATGGGGAGACTTTCCAGGTAGGAAGTGGATTCAGATGCCGGCCTCTGGGTGGTCGAGCTGCCTTTGGAATCGCTGAACCGTGTCACTGCGGGCAAGTCAGTACTCAGTGGCTGTTGTGTTGCCCACAGCCCATGCCTGGCCTGCCGCCTAGGCCCATATGCTAATAGTGTTGCTTGCTTTCCCGTAGTCCAGTGTCCCCAGGCCTGGCTCTCTCAGCTCATCTTTGTCTCCTCAGGACCATTGGACACTCCAGTTTTCTGTATAAGTTGGTATTATTTGTTCAACTGCTCCTCAAGGAACCACCAGCTTATTTGTTTGACTTAAAATAGGAGATGTGTTTCTCTCAGGGGGTGGGTGGGCAGTGACTCTGCTTTAGGCCACCATCCCGTTTTCTCACCACCACACTCTCCCCCTCCCTTCCCCCCCTCCCACTCCATCCCCTGGGGTCGTGTTTCTGTCCATGTGGTCTGAGTTGAGTCACCACCACCTTCTCCTTCATGTTCCCTCCTTCCTGAGAAAATGGGGAAGTGGAGACAAGTGTGGCTTTTTCCGGCCATGACCTGCAAGCTGTGTGCATCAGCTTGTGTTTGGCACCAACTGCAAGGGAGGTGGAAACATGGTCTAACTGGGAGGCCGCAGGCCCAGCAGGAGCTCGGGGCTTCGATTTCTAAAAGAAAAGGGAACAGCTAATGGGAGACATTTTCGGTCTTTGCCGCATTCCAGCCAGAACTGCCCCCTCATTCTTGACCCTGTTACGACCTCACATCTACGTGTCTTGTGACCATCTGAGCCCACACCCACTTTGGCTTTTCTTTGCAGATGAAGAATTCTGTGCCATCTGGGCACTCACACGAACACACATTACTAGAAGGGGAAGGGGCCTTGGTTTTGCAGGGCTCTTGCTTCCTGAACCTGGGCCTTCTGTACTGGGTTCCCAGCTCTCAAATCGCAGATGAAATGTTGCTTTTTTCATGATTTAAGATCAGTATATTTTACTACCATCACTAAGATTTGACCAGTCTTTGACATGTGGGGGTGTGTGTGTGTACATGTGTGCACACACCTGTGACCAAATTACAGGCTAAGAACTTTATCAAGCCCCTGAAGCCTGGGGTCAGATTGACCCCACGCCTCTGAGCCATCAGGCCCCTGGCCTTGTCTTAATTCAGTCTTGGTTGGCACCCAAGCTCCCTAGTCTAGACTCAAGCTGGTCTCCTGTCCACCTGATAGAGCCCACCTCCCATCTGTAATGGACAATGTGTCCTTTTTTTCCTTTGGCTGCCAGGAAACTCACACATTTGAACTATAGAAGCATTATAAACCTTTCTGATTGGTATAGAGGCATTCTTTCTTCTTTATTTACATTTTCCTTTGTTCAATTTTTTTATTCTTATGTAAAGTTCTACCATATTTGTTTAAACTTTGTCATTCTTCTATCAATATTATTTAATTATACTTGCCTTGAATTATTTGTTGAACCAAGATAGGAAGGAAACACGAAAGGAGTACACTTAAAGGATATGATTTTTAGTTGATAGATGGAACTCCCAGTGCCCCCCACCCCTTGCTTATCACAGTATGTGAGAGGCTACATGTGAGCCTTTCAGACTTGTTTATTTCCTGTGCGCCCTATGACGGTAGAAAGAGCAAATTTGTCAGTCTACATCAGCAACTGAAGCACAGGGCTAGAGCACGAAGAGAGTCTGGATGCCAGGCTCTGGGCATGCTTACAGTGAGGGAGACACTAGACATTAGTCACTCGCCCAGACCTCAGGATGGCCTGGGACCCCTGGGCTGAATGAATTCTGGCTTCCGGCAGCCTGGGCTCAGGTGCTGGCCCTGCTTCTCAGGTATGTGGTACCTTAGGCTCCCATCCATTTGTGGTCCTGTTTCCTGTGCTATAAAGTAAAGAGGCTAGACAAGACAGAGTCTACATGTCATGGCTTCTGGCTTTGGAATTCCGATTGCTCCTGGAGAAAAGGGCCCCGAGCTGCACTCAGAGGCCAGGAAGCTGAGCCTGAAGCCAAGGCGGCCTGCTTGCAGCTGGCCCAGGGAGAACTCTCATATGAGGCTCTACTCCGAACTTTGCACCTCGGTTTGGCAAGGATTCCCTGGAGCTATTTCCAGGGCATCCTCCAGGCACCGCCTCAGGAAAGGCGGCAAAAGTTTGAGGAAGCTGCCAGAATGATCCTCCCAGAGACTGCTCAGAGGGCCAGGTGGTCACAGCCCCATGAGCCTGTGAGCCTGCAGACTGGGGCAGGCTAGGGCAGGCGACTGTGCCATGAAACACGGCTGGTGATGTGGGTTGGCGAGGGGGGTGAAGCCACAAGTAGTGCCCCTCAGGGACGCCTTCAGAATCCAGGGCCTGAGAGACTCATGCTAGACTGAGGGTAGTCTGCCCCCAGGAAGTCCTACCGCACTGGCCCCTCTGCCCCAGGGGTAGCACTGCCAGCCTCTGTCCAGCAGCAGCCAAGCCGTATGGCCTCGGACCGACTGTGGGCCTGCAGCACCACTGATGCAAAAGTTATGTATTTCACAGATTAGGCCGCTGGGACTTAAGGAGCTGAAACCCTCTCTGAGTGGCTTAGCCAGGACCCCCACCTGTGGTTGAGTCTCCTCGCGAACCTTTTAGGGGTCTCAATGGTTTTGCCAGACTAGGAAGGAACCCCAGTAACTCTGTCTTCTCTTTGTGTGTGTATCTCCATGTATGTGCCTTCGTCACCTAGAAGAGCGTGATTCCCCCTCTGTGGCTTCTGATCTCCATCACGGGACTACAGGGGAGAAGAGGGCGGAGTCCCCTCAGCTTCCAGCGTGGCTTCTCTCGTGCCGGGACCAGGGATGACTGGGCCATGCACATGGACCTCTCCAGCCTTCAACGGTTTGCATAGCACAGCGGGGACTCATGGGGGGCCACTTGCCACTGCCAACTGAAACAATACAATGGCCGCATTGACATTCTCCGTGACGTTTCCACGCCAGACATTCAGGCAGAAAGTGCTGGCGCGTTTTCTGTCTGCAAAGTAGAGGGCCATGCCTCACCCAGGTGAACAGCTTGGGCCCTGATGACCTGGTCCGAGTCCACTCACAGCCAGTGACACTTGCAAAAACACCTCCCAGAGCCACTGGGGCTTGGCTTATGTAGCTCTTGACCAATGTGGCCACAGCCAGACGCTTCCTTGGGACACTTGGATTATTCGTGAATGCAGCCTGCCCTGGCCCTCCCTGAATAGCATCTGACATCTCCTTGGAGGTCATGGATCCTGAACAAAGTGTCAAGGGCACTAAGAAGGTGGAGGGAAGTCCCCGGAAGCGGCTGACCAAAGGAGAGGCCGTCCAGACCAGTGTTGCGTCCAGCACCCAGTACCCAGGCAGCAGCACGGCCCCCACCCAGGAGGGGCCCCTGCAAGAGCTCCTAGCCCCGCAGCCTTTCCCGGGCCCCTCACCAGTTCTTAGGGAAGGCTCTCAGGAGAAAACGGGCCCACAGCAGAAGCCCCCCAAGAGATCCTCCATCGAAGCCTCTGTCCACCTCTCGCAGCTGCCGCAGCACCCTCTAACACCAGCATTCATGTCGCCCGGCAAACCTGAGCACCTCCTGGAGGGGTCCACGTGGCAGCTGGTCGACCCCATGAGACCCGGGCCGTCGGGCTCCTTCGTGACCCCCGGGCTCCACCCTCAGAGCCAGCTCCTCCCTTCCCATGCTTCCATCCTCCCCGCCGAGGACATGCCGGGCATCCCCAAAGTCTTTGTGCCCCGGCCCTCCCAGGTCTCCTTGAAGCCCACAGAAGAGGCCCACAAGAAGGAGAGGAAACCACAGAAGCCAGGCAAGTACATCTGTCAGTACTGCAGCCGGCCCTGCGCCAAGCCCAGCGTGCTCCAGAAACACATCCGCTCTCACACGGGAGAAAGGCCCTACCCCTGTGGCCCCTGCGGCTTCTCCTTCAAGACGAAGAGCAACCTCTACAAGCACAGGAAGTCCCATGCCCACCGCATCAAAGCCGGACTGGCCTCAGGTATGGGCAGTGAGATGTATCCCCCAGGGCTGGAGATGGAGAGGATCCCCGGGGAGGAGTTTGAGGAACCCACGGAGGGAGAAAGCACAGACTCAGAAGAGGAAACGGGCACCGCGTCCACTCACCCCACAGGGCTCTCCCCTCGGCCTAAGCACCCCCTCCTGTCCAGCGGCTTGTACAGCTCCGGAAGCCACGGGTCCAGCCACGAACGCTGTTCCTTGTCCCAGTCCAGCACAGCCCCATCGCTTGAGGACCCCACTCAGTTTTCTGAACCCTCATCTGAACCCTCCCTGAGCCATAAACCCGAAGACACTCACACTATCAAGCAAAAGCTGGCCCTCCGTTTAAGTGAGAGGAAGAAGGTGATGGACGAGCAGGCGTTTCTGAGCCCAGGGAGCAAAGGAAGCACGGAGTCGGGGTACTTCTCCCGCTCCGAGAGCGCCGAGCAGCAGGTCAGCCCCCCAAACACCAACGCCAGGTCCTACACCGAGATCATCTTCGGCAAGTGCGGGCGGATCGGGCAGCGGACCTCCATGCTGACGGCCACCTCCGCCCAGCCCCTGCTCCCCCTGTCCACCGAAGACAAGCCCAGCCTGGTGCCTTTGTCTGTGCCCCGGACGCAGGTGATCGAACACATCACCAAGCTCATCACCATCAACGAGGCGGTGGTCGACACCAGCGAGATAGACAGTGTGAAGCCAAGGAGGAGCTCGCTGTCCCGGCGCAGCAGCATGGAGTCCCCCAAATCCAGCCTCTTCCGGGACCCGGCCCACAGTGAGAAAGCAAAACCGGAACAATCACTGCTGAGCCTCCAGCACCCGCCCAGCACCACTCCCCCCGTGCCTCTGCTGAGAAGCCACTCGATGCCTTCTGCCGCCTGCACCCTCAGCACCCCACATCCCACCTTCCGGGGGAGCTACTCCTTCGATGACCACGTCACCGACTCGGAAGCCCTGAGCCACAGCAGTCAAGCGTTTACCTCCCACCCGCGGATGCTCAAGCGCCAGCCGGCCATCGAACTACCTTTGGGGGGAGAGTACAGTTCCGAGGAGCCAGGGCCAAGTAGCAAAGACACCGCCTCCAAACCCGCAGACGAACCGGAGCCCAAGGAGAGCGAACTCAGCAAAAAGACCAAGAAGGGTTTGAAAACAAAAGGGGTGATCTATGAATGTAACATCTGTGGTGCTCGGTACAAGAAAAGGGACAACTATGAAGCCCATAAAAAATACTACTGCTCAGAGCTCCAGATCGCAAAGCCCGTCTCTGCCGGTGCTCACCCGTCTTCAGAAACCGAAAAGAGTCAGGCGGAGCATGAGCCCTGGTCCCAGATGATGCATTATAAACTGGGCACCACCTTGGAGCTCACTCCGCTGAGGAAGAGGAGAAAAGAGAAGAGTCTCGGGGACGAAGAAGAGCCGCCGGCCTTCGAGTCGACAAAAAGCCAGTTTGGCAGCCCCAGGTTACCGGACACTGCACGGAACCTGCCCCTGGAGTCCACCAAGTCACCAGCAGAACCAAGTAAGTCAGTGCCCTCCCTGGAGGGACCCCCGGGCTTCCAACCAAGGACTCCCAAGCCAGGGTCCGGCTCAGAATCAGGGAAAGAGAGGAGAACAACGTCCAAAGAAATTTCTGTCATCCAGCACACCAGCTCCTTTGAGAAGTCCGATTCTCTGGAGCAGCCCAGTGGCTTGGAAGGGGAAGACAAGTCTCCAGCCCCATTCTCGTCGCCCCCACCCACCCCACATGGACGCCCAGCTCATTCCCTGCAGCCCAAATTGGTCCGCCAACCCAACATTCAGGTTCCCGAGATCCTGGTGACGGAGGAACCCGACCGGCCGGACACAGAGCCTGAACCGCCCCCCAAGGAACCCGAGAAGACAGAGGAGTTCCAGTGGCCCCAGCGCAGCCAGACGCTTGCCCAGCTCCCAGCTGAGAAGCTGCCACCCAAGAAGAAGAGACTACGCCTAGCGGAGATGGCCCAGTCGTCGGGAGAGTCCAGCTTTGAGTCCCCTGCGCCTCTGTCTCGCAGCCCAAGCCAGGAGAGCGGCGTCTCTCTGAGCGGCTCCAGCCGCTCAGCCTCATTTGACAGGGATGACCATGGCAAAGCAGATGCCCCCGGGCCCTCTTCAGACACACGCTCCCAGCTCCTGGGCTCCCACATGTTGACTGTCCCCAGCCACCACACGCACCCCCGAGAGATGCGGAGGTCAGCCTCAGAGCAGAGTCCCAACGTTTCCCATCTCACCCACATGACTGAGACGCGCAGCAAATCATTTGACTATGGCAGCCTGTCCTCCACAGGCCCTCCGGCGCCAGCCCCAGCGGCCCCAGCAGCACCCGCCGCCCCGCCAGAAAGAAGAAAATGCTTCTTGGTGAGACAGGCTTCTCTGAGCCGCCCTCCAGAAACCGACCTGGAGACCGCCCCCAAGGCAAGACAGGAGAGTGAGGAACCGAAGCCCTCATCCAGCAAACCTTTAACCAAAAGCTCACTACCCCAGATTCCCTCAGCGGCCACCTCACACAGTGGGCACCCAGGAGGCAAGGGCCAGGTGCAGGACCTGCCCCCACTGGGCACCACTCCACCCTACACAGAAGCTCTGCAGGTGTTCCACCACCCCATGGCTCAGCTCCCCCTCCATGAGAAGCCACATCTGCCCCCACCTGTCTCCCTCTTCTCCTTCCAGCACCTTTTGCAGCATGAGCCAGGACAGTCTTCAGAATTCTTCTCCACACAGGCCATGTCTAGCCTCCTTTCCTCGCCGTACTCTATGCCCCCACTTCCTCCCTCTTTATTTCAAGCCCCACCACTTCCTCTCCAGCCTACTGTTCTGCACCCAGGCCAACTCCATCTTCCCCAGCTCATGCCTCACCCAGCCAGCATCCCCTTTCGGCAGCCCCCTTCATTTCTTCCCATGCCATACCCTACCTCCTCAGCACTCTCTTCTGGATTTTTCCTGCCTCTGCAATCCCAGTTTACCCTTCAGGTCCCTGGTGATGTAGAAAGTCATCTTCCCCAGATTAAAGCTAGTCTGGACCCACTGGCAACAGGAACTGCTGGTCTGTCTCCCAGCACAGAGTACAGCAGTGATGTTCAGCTGCCCCCTGTGACTCCCCCAGCTAGCTCCTCAGCTCCCACATCAGCCCCTCTGCTGACCCTACCAGCCTGTCCAGACACCATGGTGTCCCTGGTTGTGCCTGTCCGCATTCAGACCAACATGCCATCCTACGGGAGTGCCATGTACACCACCCTCTCCCAGATCCTGGTCACCCAGTCCCAAGGCAATGCAGCAACCATGGCTCTTCCCAAATTTGAGGAACTGCCATGCAAAGGGACTGTGTGTGGGACAGATGTGTATGAGGTTGGGCCCGGCCCAGCTGGGGCCAGTGAAGAGAAAAGCAGAGGTTTCCTAACTCCATACCTGAGAGTGCCTGAACGGAAAGGCACTTCTCTGACAACAGATAGTGCATTGAGCCTGGAGGGGAGTTCATCAACTGTGGGGGGAAGCAAACGTGTCCTTTCACCAGCTGGCAGTCTTGAGCTAACGATGGAAACCCAGCAGCAAAAAAGAGTTAAGGAAGAGGAAGCTTCCACGGCAGATGAAAAATTAGAGCTGGTAAAACCATGCAGTGTGGTGCTTACCAGCACTGAAGATGGCAAGAGGCCAGAGAAAACCCACGTGGCCAGCCAAGGCCAGGGAAGGAAGGAGCTAGAAATGCTGTCCAGCCTATCCTCAGATCCCTCTGACCCCAAGGAAATTCCTCCCCTTAGTCGACCCCTGTTGACCCATGTGACAACCCCAGGTTCAGAGACTTTGAAAGACTATGCCCAGCCATCTGGTAAACCTCACCGGAGGGGATTGCCTGCCCTGAGTGTGAAGAAAGAAGATTCCAAGGAACAACTTGACCTCCCTCCACTGGCACCTCCCAGCTTGCCGCCTCTGTCTGAAACATCCCCCAGACCAGCCAAGTCACAAGAAGGTACGGACTCAAAGAAGGTACTGCAGTTCCCCAGCCTCCACACGACCACTAATGTCAGTTGGTGCTATTTAAACTACATTAAGCCAAATCACATCCAGCATGCAGATAGGAGGTCCTCTGTTTACGCTGGTTGGTGCATAAGTTTGTACAACCCCAACCTTCCGGGGGTTTCCACTAAAGCTGCTTTGTCCCTCCTGAGGTCTAAGCAGAAGGTGAGCAAAGAGACATACACCATGGCCACAGCTCCGCATCCTGAGACAGGAAGGCTTGTGCCATCCAGCTCCCGCAAGCCCCGCATGACAGAGGTAAGTGCAACCTTGTTTTTCTAACCCCCACTGATGTTTAAAGTCTTTGCTGAGCTTTTAAAGTCACATTCTTCTAAGGTCCTATTTGCAAAACTATAGCCATATTTCCTTCAGCTGCGACTGGTCACCTTGTCAAGAAGCATATTTGTGTTCTTTATCAGTGTGTCCCTCACCTAACTGGATGAGCTACACCCCAATAAAGTCTCCTGCAAGTTCAGGAAGTTTGAAGTGTGATAAGTTGGCTTTACAGTGAATGACATCTCCATACCCTGACAAAGCTAGGTTAAAGATTCAGGCCACGATGCTGAGTTGGGACTGCGAAATAATACTTGGTCTCATTGATTGAACCGCCTCACCATGCTGGGCCCTTAGTCCAGTCAATGTCATCTTCCTCTGTGAGCAGCAGATGAGGGAACTGAGCGTCAGAGGATGAGAGAGGTCAGTGTGACTTGGCAAACCTAGAATTGGAACCCCAATCTGCCTAAGTCCAGTGAGTCTTATTTTTCTTCTTTCACTTATTGGAGGCAAGACATTAAAATCTGACTGCAAATTTTAAGATGTGCATTTGTGTGACTTCAGACCAGATGCTCTGACCAAATCAGGCATAAACTCATAATATAAATAAATGAACAAAATCATATTCTATAATTTCTCATATAATTGCATCCTCTTAACTTGAATGAGTTTTGTGTGTTGAATTTATCCTTAGTTCAGTTGGGTATTCTTCATAGATGCTCTAGACAATAGACATTCCTAAATCAGATTTACAGATTTACATAAACCTCATGACTGACTTTTATCCCAATGGTCTCTTACTAGTTATGGCTACACCCAAGGTGCTGTTAATTATGTTTATAATTATAACTCTTCATATACCTACTATGTGCCAGGTCTGTGCTAAGCTCTTTACTTTTATCCTCCCAACCACGTCAAAAATTGGGATACTGTATCACCATTTTATGGATGAAGAAGCCACAGCATAATAAAATTAAATAACTTGCCCAATGGTAAAGGCTAATTTAAAACTGTACCTCAGTACATAGCCCTTTCAGATGATTCAAACTGCCTCTGTTTTATCAACTGAACACCAAAAGGCCATTGAAGAAAAAGGGAGAGTTGATTTGGTTTACTTGCATTTGGTAATTATTTGTTTTAAGTGGTGCCTTTCTAGAATGAGCTGAAACCTGAAAACATTTTCTTAGAATACTCCATTTGATACCCTGGTACTTTGGTATCAGGAGGCAGCCATCTAGTGCATTAATGTAACTTCATGGTTCACAGCTGCTGCCTTTGTATTATTATGCTGCTATCATTGGTCTCTGCTTACATATATCTTCAGAGACCATCCCTGGGATAACCAAACCCATCTTTGAACAGTACTTTAAGAAAGTTCTTTATTGAACTGAGATGATGTCTGCCATCGCATCATTTCCATTCACTTTTCAGTAGCTCTGAAAAGGCTCTTTGAGCTGTCTTAGCAATTTAATTCTCTTCCTAACCATTTTCATGAAAGTCTAGGTTAGCCTATTCTCTACAAGTTTGGTCACAGATATTGTTTCTATATATAAGCTCTGAAGAAACCCACCCTTAGGCAAGAGTTCATTTTGCTGCTACCTTCTCTCCCCCAGTTTCTTCTTCCTTTTTTTCTCTGTTGGCATCACTTTGACAACCGCATGCACAATTACAAAGAGATGAAGTGCTAGGACTACAGAGCCTCATTGCCCAGGTCGAGTCCCATTGCTTCACTTACTAGCTTGGTGACCTTGGACCAGTTACTCAACAGCTCTGTGCTTTGGTCTCCTCACTGGTAAAAGAAATGTAATATTAATACTTAGTCCATAGGGCTATAAAGATCATAAATAAAGAGTTATAATATGGAAAGTGAATTTGGAGCAGTGCTTCACACATTGGCATGCAGTAAATGTTTTAGCTATTCTTGTCCTTACTACTATCATTAAAAACCAAAGTGGATCACTGGCCCGGTGCTCAATTCAGCAGTGTTTCCTGATAGAGTCTCTCACTGCCATAAGAATCAGCCTTCTCCTGCCTGGCCCAGGTGTCACAGCTGGTTGTGAGAGAGAAACCATCCGTCACCCTGTGGGAGACCCCTTGGCCATTCCATGCTTGGCCCAGATGGCAGGCCAAGAGGGGAGCAGAGACAGCAGGCTCTGGAAATTCATGAGTGTTTCTTGGCTGCTTGCTGCCAGAGCATGTCCTTCCGTATCCCCACCTGCAGTTCTGAAGAAATCACCGGGGAGTCACTGGGTCATAAAATTTGACCCTGAATGAATCTTTAAGATTGTCTAAACCCCAGACTGAGGGTCTGGGTGGCTCAGCATGTGTTGGTTGATGTGCAGCTAGAGCTCAGATCGCTGATCCCCAACCAGCTGCCTTTCTGCTCAGTTCCATTCCATCCTTGTCAGAGCAGATGTGGTGGCTGGCATGGGGGACTGTGTTTCTTCAGTGGCGCCAGGCCCAGGGCACATCCCTGTTCTCCTGTTGTCTGTAAACAATGTGGTTTCTCATGATCTTAAGGACAGTGGCATGAAGTAAAATAAAAAATTTCACTCTTGGCTCTCTTGGTCCCAGATTCTAGCCCACCACCAACTCCCTGTTCAAGGTGAACCCACTCCTACCACTATCAAAGGGTTCTCTGTGAAGAGAACAGGGTCCTTCAAATGAACAGCCCAGAGCCTACATCCTATTGGATGACCTTGACTTTGTGATCTATAATAGAAAACTGGATGATTTAATTTTCTGTGGGTTTATTTGCCCCACATGAAGCACCCTTTCAGAGCAGACCCTGTTTTGGGTGCAGGCATAAGCAGGAGACCCAGACAAGGACCTTCCCTAGGAGCTCGCTTAGATACTCATGAAACAGGAAGAGCAGGCGGCTGTCACGGCAGCCTAACTTGAAAGACCTGATGGGAGTTCCAGCTTTGATTGCCTCGTGGTCTTGAATAAGAGGCTTCGCCTCTCTGGGGATCAGTTTCGTTCTTTTCGTAACTGGGGGCTAATAGCACCTCTTCGCATGGTAGTGTGAAGATTAAGTGAGCAACCTTCAGTGTGTACGCACGCAGTACCACTGGAGGCACCATCCCACTATTCCCGTTTAACTTGTGATGATTTTGTCATTCCCGCGGTGGGCCAGGTTCACCTCCCTTCGCTGGTTTCCCCAGAAGGCCAGAAAGATATAGCTAGAGTGGAAAAGGAAGAAGAGAAGCGAGGGAAGCCGGAGGAGGACACTCCTGCCTCCAAGAGAGGGGAGCCCACGAGGATCAAAATCTTCGAAGGAGGGTAAGCATCTTGTTTGGTTTGCAACATCTGCTTTCCGGCTGGTAAGAGGGCCCCTGGCCGGCTGGCTGGGCGCTCCCGTCCGTGCTCAGAGGCGGTGATCACATCAGCAGCAAGACTGTTCCACAGTTTCCACAGGTGCCCTGGGGTTCCAAACCTGCCTTCTGGTGGTCGCCACCCGGTGGGTCTCCAGGCCACCTCTGGTTGAGAATGCCGGCTCTGGGGGGGGGGGGGGGGGAGGGCGCTGGGTGTGCCCTGAGGACTGAAGGGTCTGGACTCTGTCTAGCCTCTCGCTTCCTCAGGTGTTGGTCTGGGTTCTGATTCCCTCATTGGGGCTAATGGTGAGTCCCAACTGCTGTCTACCTTGGTGTGTGTTCCCCCCAAAATCACCTCTGACTGCCCAGGCAGCCACGTTGGCCTCCTAGGGCCCCCATGGTTGGGGGGGGGACCCCGGCTTTGCCAACCAGGCTGTTGGCAAAGCTGATGGCACACTGTTCTCGCTGGCTGTTGACGCAGAGCTCGCTGGTCGGTAAATATTTAGACTGTCGTCCCTGGCTTTTCACCTTTGGTGCTTGTCTTTGGGAACCTCATGATCTGACTGCCTCAGAACTCATGAGGGGGACCTGCTGGGCCCCTAAGGTCCCTTGTTGCAGACTTGCTATGTGGAAGTTTTGTACCAGCTGTGTTCTATGTGACACGTGTCTGCCCCTGGGATAAGGGTGTCTGAAGCAGGTGCCGTGGTGTCTGTCTCAGGTCCTGTGTCTGTGTCCCTAGTGTAATCAGTGCAGCCCCCCACGCTCCCCAGTCTAGAGGGAGGTGAGCATGAGGAGAGCCTGACTCCCCAGGGGGCAGGCTCTGTGGGCATCGGGCAGCACTGTCGTCACTGGGGACTCTGCTTCTCCAGCATCTGCAGGGGTCTGGCTCAAGTTGAGCTGGTGCTGGATTCTTCTGCACGATCAGGAAGAGAGAGCAGAACCTACCAAGCTCCCCAGGGCCTCCAGTGTGCTTTCCTCTGGGGCTCTGACCAGCAGGGTCTCTCTGGAGAGGGCAAGTCGGGTGGTTCCAGAAACAGGGAGGGACCAGGGATGGCACATTTCCTGTAGTGGGGCACTGACCCCAGGGGAGACACATCCTGCCCCATGTTCTAACAGTGGCTCTATTGAGAACTACCCCAAAGACACGGAAGAGCTGATGCTCCTTCCATCTGGGGATGGAGCTCTCTCCTCTCCTGCTACTTGCTTAGAGCGCCCTCGTGTGTCTCTGTGTTCTCATGTTCTTGGGTCCTTTAAAGGCCACACAGGTCTTGTCCCAGGTTTGGTGCATCTAGTCAAGGTGACTTGCCGTCTTCCCTCTTGCTTCATCAACTGCCTGTGGGGCGGGGCGGGGCTGCCAGGTGTTCGCCAGTGTGTGAGGCACTCATTCCCTTAGTGCAGCCTGCGTGTGCATGAGGAGGTTTGCCCCGCAACGGGAGATCTGGCTCCAGGAGGCAGCCTGCTACTCTGTCTCTCTGGGCAGCCTGAGCCTCCATCCAGGTGGCTGGTGGGAACCTGCCTCTGCCCCATCTGGCTCATAGCTCCAGCTACCTGCTAGAGGCTCTGTCACCTGGTCTGAAAGGTGAAAGGTTACCCTGGAGACCCTTCTCTTCCACCCCACCCCACCAGGCTGCTACTTAGTCCCACCTGCTGTGTTTCAGGACTCTCCTCTCTTTCAGGTGTCACCCCTGTCCAGAGCACCTCTCCCACTCACCTCGTTCCACATAGACACTCTTCCCCTCTCCAGCTCCATTTCCTTATCTGCAAAAGGGGAGAGCAGGGGATTTGTAGCCCAGGCAAAAGGACCCCTGCAGCCCAGGGGTCATTCGTCCTGCTGACAAGCGGTACAGGAGCATTTGTCGTGGCTGTGTCCGGCTCATTCGTCTATCTCCCTCCAGGGTAATCTCCACCTGTGCCCCCACCGCTGTCAGTGATGAAAACAATGTCTTTGCTCTGCTCTCCTTGTGTCTGATTTGAGCACTTCTTGGGTTTAGGGAGTGTCGCTGGTCAGAGCCTTTCTCCACCAGCTATGTCACATGGCCCCCACGGGAACCCCACCCCAAGTTGGGGACACCTTTACACTCATGGTCCCTTGGGGCTGGTATCAGCCTCAGTGTGTTTGGAACATAAGGATACCAGCGATTTTGGCTGTCACGTGACTGGGGCACCACCCTCTGCTGGTAATTCCAGGATGAACCAAGGATGTGACCTGCCATTCAGCAACTGTAGTGCCATTTGTCTCACACAAACTCCAGGGGGTCCCCCCCAAAAAACAATGATCCACCATCCTTTGGGACACCCGTCTGCCGTCACCAAGGTTTTGCCTTAAACTCTTTTCTCTCTCACACACACATACTTGCCCCTCTATATTTCACTCCAGTCTATGTTTGACGGGGGGTGCAATCAGGCTGTATTCATAGGCGTCACTAAGACATCTGGGGGAATATGGTGACTTGTGCGCTGACTCTTAAAACTTCACTCGGAAGCTTCTGCTCACATTTCATAGGCCAGAGCAAGCTGTATGGCATTGCCTGCCTCAGAAACAGAGACACCACCTCCCTGTGTGCCTGGGGGAGTAAAGCTATTCGGTAGACACACTAATGGCCACCTGCATGGGTTGAACACACAGCTGCAGCCTGCTTTTGTGATGTTGGTCCTGTAGCTCCCGTTGATCCTATAGATCCTGTTGACCCTATAGATCTCGCTCATAAAAAGTCAGCCAGCCAGACTCAACGAGGAGACGCTGTATGAGGCGTGTGGGTTTTGGTTTTCTATCACTAGTCAAGCTATCCTTACTCTTCTTGTTCTCCAATTGAGCCGTGCATCAAGTGGCAAAAAAGAGCTATTTATTCAGCCTCTTCCCATACGTTGCCCTCACCATGCTTGGGGACTAAGTTGGCAGCACCAGACCCAGTGGTGAAGTGGAAGCTACCAGGGCTGACTTGCATCATGAAGGGTTCCTGGGGCTGGAACTGACAGAGAGGGCTTCCTTGGTGGGGCCAGAGTTGGGGCGGGGGGGGTGGTGCAGTGAGACCCGGACAGGTGGGGGAAGGCAGGCTAGCTATGAGGGTGACTCATGGGCCTGGCTAGTCGGGACACCTGCCTGCAGTGTTCTCCTTTGTCTAGTCTTCTTCTCCCTGACTTCAGACCTTGTCATCATGCCAGGGACACTAAACACAAAGGAATGCTTTTAAGGCAGGACACTTTAAGGTTGCATCGACTTGGGTCTCCAGCTAGGACCTCACTCCTGAGCTAGAGATCCTCCTGGGCACCTTTGCCTGAGTGACCCATGGCATCTCAAACTCAACATATGCCAAGTCCTCTTCCAACAGCATCTCCTTCCACATCCAGATCTCATGTGATGCAGCCCTTTACCGTCAAAACCTTAGTGTTACCTTGCATTCCTTCCTCTCCCCTTGCCCTCGCCCTCCCAACTAGTCCCCATTATGGGGTTCACCACAACGTGGCCTAGGTCTCAAATGTGGTCTCTCTTCATTCCCTGCACCATGGCGCAGTCTCCCCCTTCCACCCCCATGTCAGTGTCTATCAGTTTGTCTGAGCAGGGTTCTGTCTGAGTCTCGCTGCTGCACAACAGTCTTCAATGGCTCCCTTATCTACACCATCCAGTTTAACATCAGCCTGATCTTCCCAACCACATCGTTCTGACCCACCCCTGTTGTACATCTTCTCAGGCTTCAGAGGGCAGAACTCAACCGCCTCCCCCAAGGAGCTTTTTAGGGCCCTCCACACTTCCGATTTCTTTGTGTTACTTCTGGCATATCAGTGGGGCTATTGCTGTCACCCCAAACTCCTGTTGAATTGAGTCTCAGGGCCATGCTTTGCGAACTGTGCATCATTCCTATTGATTGATTTCTTGGTGCATAGCCCCATCACTTCCACACTTGAGCAAAGCATGTTCTGCAGGTAGCCTTCTGGGGGTGCCCCCCGTTAGGGATGTGTTAACTGTCTCACCGGCATGCATGCATTTGCCTTGGTTGTTTTAGAAGGATTCCTTTGTTGGGGGATGTTGTTTTCATATGCACAAAGTTATATTGTTCACCGAGGGTAATGACTACATTGTCTCAACTCAAGTTCAGTGGTTGCAAGGAAAGCTTGGAGTTCAGCCCAAATTGCTGGCATGGGAGAGGAAGAGGTTGGAGTTGATAGGAACCACTGGCTGCCCAAAGTGGTCATCCAAGTCTACCAGGGCTTGGGGGACATGGTGTCAGCGCTCAGATGGAAAGGGAACAATGAGCTCAAATGGTGAGAGACAGGGAAGCCAGGCCCGCGGGGGCGGGTGTGGGGGCTATTCAGAAAGGGGTGGGTCATATTTAGAGGGACAACACAGCCTCAACTTGGAACTGGAAAACAGGGCAGTGGAACAGAAACCCAGTTACAGGCCAGGCCAGCCAGGGTGGGGCTGGTGACTCACAGAGAGGAGGTTGTCCCGGACAGGCCCGTGGCCCTGCAAGCCTTTAGCCGAAGTCCATTCCTGACCCTACCAGCTGAGGACTCGGTGGCTGAGCTAAGGGAAACCCAGCTACACTCCTGTCAGAGGACATGGGGTCCCACCTCTTGTCACTGCCCTAGTACCTCCCTCTAGCAACTACTTTCTCTTGGCTGACTCATTCAGTGTGTGCAAACTTAGAGTCTTAAAAAACTTCTTCGACTGAAGAGCTTCTAAATCACCAAATTTTTCTGTTTCCCTTTTAAAAATAGCACTCCATAAGGACTTGACTGTACTTGTTGACCTCCACAGCCCTCCTCCCCTCCTCTGTCACCCAGACCGGCATCTTTTCACCCATCCTGGTGGCCTGTGGACTTCAGGTCTTACCCAACAATAGATTTATCAATGGCTATTTGAAAACAAGAGCAGAGAATTCCTGTTCTTAGGAAACACTTAGATTCTTGGAAAAGTGTTTTCCTTTCTAAAGGTGATCCCCCCCATAAAAATATCAGTGTTAAATAGTC